TGTCACAGTTATATGATTTTCTTTGATAATTTTTTTTCTGAAGGTGCCTGTGGTTTTATCATGGATAAGAATTAAAGTTTTGTCTTTTCTACCATCAACAAAAATTCCAGTGATTATATTTCTTTCACAGTAGAAATTTTCTTCTATTCTGGAATACTTCATAGCACACTCTTTGGCACAAAAAACTTTCATGCTATCACATATAAGATTTTTTTTATCTTCAACAAGTTTCCCTGCTTTCATAATATCTTTCAGTAGACCATTAATGATTGCAGCAGTAGCAGTCGATGATACACCAAATCTAACAGAAGCAACGGCAGCATTACTAATATCAAGGTAGTTTCGCTTAACATAATTATCTTGCTTTTCTATGGTCGAGTCCTCTTTGCTATCACTGACTATATTACTATCACTAACTTTATCGATATCACTGACTTCTTCACTATCACTGACTATCACATCATTTGAATTATTATGCATTTCTATTGTAACATCCACATTTTCAACATCAAATCTAACAGCCCGTGGATAAAATGTTTCTAATGACTCTAACTTAGATTTTGAAGCTTCTTCTCGTTGTCGTGCGAGTCTTGCTTGATCGATTGACTTGCGTAAGTGTTTTAACCAAAGTTTGGCAGTCTCTTTAACATCCAAACCAAATTCTTGCATAGATGAAATACTGCCTTGTTTTTCTCGCTGGTTTTTTATCCAAATAAGCTCTTTTTGAGGAATTCTTAAATTCTTAAAAGTCACATTTGCAAAGGCAATGAGCACCGCTATCACAAGATTCTTTGCAAGGGGGATCATTCTCACTGCAGTAAACAATTTTGCATTTGCAAAGAGCAATATCTAAAAGTTTATCAAGCTTAGGCTCCCAGTGTATTATGTAAGATTTTTGAGATTTGTTTCGAGCTATCTTTTCGAGATATCTTTTCGAGCTATCTAGAGAATGCAGACCAAATTCTACTGAGTCTTAGTGTTATTCCTTTTGTTCCACAAACTATGGGTTCTTTAAATTCTGTGTTGGAAATAAGCCATCGTTCTGCAACCTCATAAGCAACATTAGAAAAAATTTCTTGCATTGATGAATTACGCTGATTTTTTTCATAGACTAGTATTCTGTCTCGCTGCAGATCCAGAAAACGCTGTAAACAGTCACGTAAGGTTGGAAATTCAGTTTGGAGGAACTTTCTAGGACCTCCAAGATACTCACTTAGTTTGGTGTTAATCGATTTTCTGGTTTTCTTTCTAACTAATAATGCCATTTTTCTTTTTATAATATGTTATGAGTCTGAAAGATATAAAGGCAGCAATAACAGCAATTAATTTGAAATTAAATTTAAATAGTAATTATAATATTTATAAGGTATATTTGTTTATTAACTGATACTTATACATAAAATAATTTAAAAAAAAACTCAAAGTTAAGCATATCAAAAATATCAAAGTTAAGCATAGTGCTAAACAGTATTTTAAATAATTATTATGTACATTTATAGCATAAATTGTCATCAATTAGAAAAAAATACAATATTTTTGGAAAATTAAAAATGTTTTCCCGATAGCAAGACTTGTTTTTTCACTAAAAAAGATTATACCATTCAACTCAGGGTATATGAATACATAGGAAAAGTGATGTACTGAATGAAATTCATAACATGCAAAAGTATGATATACCCTAATATAAATATATCTTTATATATATATATATATATATATATATATATATATATATATATATATATATATATATATATATATATAAACTTTTACTATAACGATTTTGTAACTATTTTGTTTATTATACCTGATGACGCTGATCACAATAGATCAGCGAAATATCGAAATAATTATATATTAAAGAAAAAGTATATATATTTAAAAAAAGTTTATACGCAGCCGTATTTATTGAATTCTAACCATATTTTATAACAAGATAACGTATAACAAGAAAATAACATTCAAAGATATATATATATATATATATATACTTTTACTAAAAAAATATATGTATATATTTTAATATATATATATATAACCCTCAGAATTAGGGTCGGCATTTGGCAATGCTGACCTAACTGCCAATCTAAAAATGTTTGTGGTCGGTAAAAAATTGCCGACCTCGTTTTTATGTTTTATGGTTAGACCTTTATATCAAATAATTTTTGCTGACCTGATGCCGACCTAAAAAAGAATGAGGTCGCCAAATTATTGCCAATCTCATTTTTCCTGAATTTTTAGGTCGGCATCAGGCCAGCAAAAATTATTTGATACAAATATCTAACCATAAAACATAAAAACGAGGTCGGCAAATTTTTACCGACGACAAACACTTTTAGATTGGCAGTTAGGTCAGCATTGCCAAATGCCGACCCTAATTCCGTATATATTAAAATATATATATATTTTTAGTAAAAGTATATATATATATATATATATATATATATATATATATATATATATATATATATATATATACACTTTTTTATAAAAAAATTACTTTTCATTTATCAGTTCTTCAGCTTTTTGTAGAGATTTAACATTTGAATTTCTTTCGCAACCAATCTTTATACTTGCAGCAACTTTCTTTGGATATTGATGGCTAGGCTCAACTTGTTCAATGAGACTACAAATTACATTACTTGTAATGGTGTCTTGAGTAAAATATAATGCTTCTAGCTTTTTTAAATATTTTATACCATCAGGTAACGATTTCAACAATGTATCAGAAATATTAAGTGACTTTAAATTTTCACAAAATAATTCTTCTTTATTACTGAATGAATAAAACAAACTGATTGATTTAAGTTTATTTCCTAATAAATCAAGATGAACAAGATCGACTAGCTGATTGTGTTGTTGATGTTCACAAGTGTTGTTAGATGTTAAACAAAAATGTTCTGCATATGCATAACAAAAACTACTTGGTTTTTGCTTTTCAGAAAAATATATTGTGTCCAGGTTGTTTTTAGCAAGAGATAAGTGACTTAAATGTTTCGGAAAGCAAGATATACACTTTATTTTAGAAATTTCATTATAACTTAAATTGAGATAAAATAAGTTAGGCGCAAGACAAGAGATTCCATTAGGCACTTTTGAAAATTTATTATTTGACAAATCAAGGTGAATTAAACCAGAATTTATAGCACATTTCTGTTTTTCTATATTGTAAACACCATCCTTATTTGATTTTATACTATAAAGAACTTTTTTTTTGGAAACAGGAAGCCTTAACAAACGATTATCAATTTGATTATCCACTTGTTCATTGTTAAGTTCTCTAAAATCATAAAATTAAAAATCATGAATTTTATAACTTGATAATAGTATATTAATTAAGTTTTTAAAATTAGAAAAAAAAAAAAAAAATTTACATAAAACATGACAAACAATTAAAATATTAAATTAGATTACTAATTATATTTAATTAACAATTAAAAAAACATAAAAAAATTCCGTTATAAAAAGAACTTAAACTATTATTTGAGCTAAAATATAAAACCACTATTTTAATTTAAAAAAAATAAGAAAAAACTATGTTTGTTAAAATAATTTAATAACTTATTAATTTAATAACTTACTAAAAAATACAATCACCTGCTAAAGTTTAACAAAGAAGGTAATTTATTTAAATGATTGTGATCAAGCAACAAAACTTTCAATGATTCTGAAAGCCACATTTCCATCCCTATACTCTTTAAATTATTGTTGCTGCAGTTGATATACTGTAAAATAGGCATTTCAAAAATAAATTTTGGAAGAGTTTCAAGAGAATTATGCTGTAATTCTAGCTCTTCTAAAGAATGACCAAATAAATTTTGATTTGAAATACTTTCATTCTCACTTAAGTTCATAAAGCACAACTCATAAAGCCAATTATTTGATAGATTTAGTTTTCTTAAAGAAGGTAACTGAAAAAGTATAAATGGAACGAATTCAAGTTTATTATTCGATAAGTTTACTTCAGTGATAAGTTGAGAATGTAACTTATTTTTTATTAGATCATCATGATGAGAATATACGGCTGATGGTGCAGCTAATATCCATTTTTCCTTTACAAAATTGATAAAACGCTTTTTCCAATATATTGATACAGTAGTTAATGAGTCTTCAAAGTCATTTAAAGTTACTGTCCTTTCACTGTTAACATAAACACCTATTAAAAAAGTTTAAATTAATTTAAAACTGCACATACTTTTATGTATGAATGCATGTATGTATGTATGTATGTATGTATGTATGTATGTATGTATGTATGTATGTATGTATGTATGTATGTATGTTTGATGGCTTTACAGGAGATGCATGCTGTCTCATTACTTGCCTGACCACGTATATATTGTTTTGCTTTGACAACTTGGCCATGACTCTTTGCATGATTTAATAATTTTTAAATGTTAGAAAAGAGCTCAAAAAACCAAACTTAACTAAAGAAAAAATTAAGAAAAAAAAAACAGCCACAAACTGCAAAAAGATCTTAACAAATGAGAAAATAAATAAAAGATAAACCTGAAAAAATAAAACCATAAAAATAATTTTTTTATTTCAAAGTCAAAAGCGTTTCACTTTACGTAGTCATTTTTTTTTATGAGTGCACAAACAATAAGCGCATAGTAGAAACATTATTTTTATACAAAATAAGTCTAAATCTTATAATTTTTCACATGGCACTAAATTTGTTGTTAGTGTAACTATGTAAGTGTTGTGCTATGTTAATATTGCACTTAAATTATGTAGTATTCCGTATTTAAGACATAACTGTCAAAAAGATATTGGGTGCGAATACAAATCCTTTTATAGAATCTTTTTTATATATATACTTTTGTTTTATTCACTTATTAGACAGAAAATATCAAAGTTTCAAGGTTTAATATAATTAACTTTCAAAGTAATTATGTTTGGATAAAATAACTTTAAAACATCAATCTTTTTGCAAAAATCTAATAAGAAAAACACTTTAAATTTAAAAAAACATATTTTTTTATAACTTTATTTTTTTAAGTTTATCTTTTTCTTTACCTTCAATAATTTTTAGTTTATGGATTGTTTTTTTTTTTTAAATTCTATTTAGTTTAGTTTGATTTTAGCAGTGCGCTTTTAAAATTAAATAATTGTCTAAAAATGCAGAGAGTAGTGGCCAAGTTATCAAAACAAAAAATGCATGGTCAGCAAAGGCGTGTAATAGCACATACCCCTGTTAAACACTACTATGTATCTATGTTTTTTATGATTTATAAAATTTTGTTAATTTTATTAGTATAGTATGTAGCATAATAACTGAAAGTATTTAAAAAAAAAATCAAGGATTCTTTTTTTGTTTAAAAATTATAAATTAATTTTTTAGTAAGTTATATATTTAAAAAAAAAATATATTATACTTCACTACCTTTAAGTAAATAAATTTAAAAAATTCAAATATTTTGGCCTTATATTACACTAATATAAGGTCAATATATATATATATATATATATATATATATATATATATATATATATATATATATATATATATATATATATATATATATATATATATATATATATATATATATATATATATATATATATATATATATCATATATATATATATATATATATATATATATATATATATATATATATATATATATATATATATATATATATATATATATATATATATATATATATATATATATATATATATATATATATATATATTAGGGCTGTTCATGTGAACACAGGAAAAAAAAATTTTTCTCGGATTTGAATGCATAGTTGTTTATTTTGTGCCATTTGACATAGTAATTGACTGTGTAAAAAATCTTTCCAATCAGATAATGTTTAGGGGGTGCTCAATGACCATAAAGTTTTACGAAAAACGTCAAAAACGTGAAAAAAGTTCCAAAGTTCCAAAAATTTCTAGAACCTGGTAGTTAGATTTTTTCCACTGAAATATTGTCTGATTGCGTGCTATATAGATTAATTAAAGTGCAGCAGATTAACTGTCATCAGGGCACCAGACTAAAAAATGTCTGCTAGTGTTTAAAACAAATTTGTTTATATCATTTTGTTAAAATTTGTATTCATAATTTTAATACTATTATTTAACTCAATTTAGAATTTGTTCAAACAGAATAAAAAGGTTTACAAGTATAAATATTATTTTTATTTGGAATTTCAGTTTGACAACAAATGTATTAATATTTTGATAGTACCTAACCTTAGTAACCTATTACAGAAAACTAGCATGGTAGTCTGGTAGTGTATTGTTTGTTATTAAGTGCAGATAATAATAATTTCTAATTTGAAAATATTTATTTAATTTCTTTAGTAATAATTATTATTATATATTGCTGCAGCTGCATAAACCAACAACTGAATGATAAGTTTGTATAATATGGTATTGAGTTTTGATTTTCTCATAATTTTTCAGTTATCATTGAAATGGCAGCATCATCTTGTGTTGCTATCTCTACACGACTTCAAACCGAAATCTTTTTAATTGGACAACTAGAGCCAAATCTTCCAGATAAAGTTCTTCCCTTAACATCTGATGTTTTAAAAACATTTTTTTATCATCTTAATTCAACCAAAAAGTCAGTGCCTGAAAGTCTTAAAACAACTGTTGAGGAACTGATTATTATTTGGAATAAAGCCCGTATTCCGACAGCATTTCATCCGAATGTAGTCTTAAAGTTGAAAACTTTAGTCCAGGAATTTAAATTAATAAAAAAAAATAAATCCAGATTGTCAGATTCTCAGAAATCAAGAGAGAAATCATTTACAGACACCATTGGCCTACTTTTTGACATTGCCCACAAGGATGCTGAAACCATGATCAGAATTGAAGAAGATAAAGAATCTTTATTGGATCAGAGATGTCAGAGAAAAATGGTGATGTTTGGAGAGGACAAAGAACTTTCAAAATTAGAAGCAAGAAATGAAGCAAGGAAACAAGCAGAGAGAGAACGAAAGCTAAAAGAAGAGCAAAGACAATCTGGTGCGAGTGCAATAGTTCCTGTTATTGAACCTTTACATGACGAAAGTTATAGTGATGACAACGATAACGATGCAAGTGCGTTGCGGTCAATGAAGGTTGATATTGATTTTCTGTTCAACAACGATCCAGCTACCTGGAATGATTCCCCAGAATACCAAGAAGGAAAAAATTTAGTATATTCATTGAAAGTAGTAAATGATGCTGCCGAACGATCTGCGGCTTTAATGTCGATGTTTAATGAATCGATTACAAGCAATGAATCTGAAATGCAGAGGTTAATTCAGGTGGTTGAGGATCACAGAAAGCGAGTGCCAGATGCCAGAAAGTGTACTCTGAAGAGTTATAGTCCTCGCTAGCATTAACATTGCACGAACTATAACATTACGATAATTAAATGTTAATTGCTCATATGTTTTTGAGTTGACCTACTTAGTAGTTGATTTTAATCAATGACAAAGAGTCAAAAATCTTAGTGTTTTATTTTGGAAAAATTCTGATATAACAAAAACCGCAGAACTTTAGTCGTATTGCAGTATTTTATTTCATTAATTTCTCTGCTAATAAACCAGTATAAATTGGATGTGGATTGTAATTTGTATTCAGAATTTAATATTTAGAGATAGTTAAAACTGATCAAATCTGAAAAATCTAATTAACCGGGTTTTAGAAATTTGTGGAACTTTTACTTTTTCCATGTTTTTCACATTTTTCGTAAAACTTTATGGTCATTGAGCACCCCCTAAACATTATCTGATCGGAAAGATTTTTTGCACAGTTAATTAATATGTCAAATGGCACAAAATAAACAACTATGCAATCAAATCTGAAAAAAAAATTTTTTTTGGACAGCCCTAATATATATATATATATATATATATATATATATATATATATATATATATATTATACATACATAAATAGAGGCCTCAGCGGAAAGCAAGAAATTTCTCGCCCACATTCCCCTAAAATGGTTTACAGGAGCAATTTACGGCTCTCGCAAAAGTATAATTTTTCTCACAAAAGTATAATTATTATTGTAATTAAAATAAAAAACACATTGTCATTTATAAAAAAACTAATTGCATAATAACTAATAATTATTTAAAATACTGTTTATAAAAAAAAAAATTATTTAAAATACTGTTTAGCCCTATGCTTAACTTTGATAATATGTTTTGAGTTTTTTTTTAAATTATTTTATGTATAAGTATCAGTTAATATACAAATATACCTTATAAATATTATAATTACAACGGCATTTTACCAGAAAATATTGTAATAAGAAAAAAAAAAAAATTACATATTTAAAATACATTTTTTTGCATATGCGACACAATGATCGCAAAAAGTGACCAACGGAGCCGTCCAGTTACGTAGACCTGGGAGATGTGTAAATAAAAACAGATTGAAGATGATTTCATTTAGGTAAAAAAACATAAATTAATGTAAAGATTATTTAGTAGGAGTAATAAAAGTTAGCAACTCAGGAAAAGAGGAATAAAAACTCACACTCTAGTCATCTTTTAGCAAATGATAAAACAATGATCTATGAGTAAACAAGTCAATAAAAATCCGCTGATTTATAATAGTATTCATAACTAAAGTAATCGCACCATACAAGTGTCTAATAAATGTGGTTCTATATATGTTCTAAACTCTAGAAAAAAAATAGATTGAAAAATGATAATCACCTGTGTAACATAAAAATATATAAATGTCGTTAATGTAACAAATTCATAATAAAAAGCTCACAAAGCGCAAAAATGCATGGGTTTAAGAGGTAAAAAAATGTAGGTGCCATAATAACCAATTAGAATTAAGTAGTGGATAAATGGTGATCCCCTCCTCAGGAATGCACTGCGATCACCAATGACGTTTCGGAGAGCCCAAGACCTGCACTAACACCACTCGTCAGGGGGGTGTCCTTGCAACAGATCTCACCGCCTGCACTCTACGTCATGCTAGTCAATATTGCAATATAATAGGACTACACTACAAAAGCCAAAAAACCAATCCCTATCCCAGTTTTTGAAAACAGCTCCAACATTCTTAGAGATCTCGTGAGGGTGGTGAGGAATGCGCGTGGTGTGACCATAAACAGATATGTATACACATATAAATATAAGGTACCCTTACATTAGAAGAAACAAACTTGTACACATGTACGTATGCG